GTCCCTTCTGGAATTGACAAAAGCGACAGAGGTTTTAAAATTTGAAATCTTAGTAAATCTTTTCATTTCATTTCCATCTAAAGTGTTATCTATCATAAGAGCTTTTTGAAAAAAGAAATGATTCCAACAGATCCAAACACCCCCTGTGCGGTGGTCTTTCACCTCTCAAAACAACACAATAGAAAACAAAAAATCCCCCAAAAACCCTGACCCAGGCAGTCAATGACTCACATCCAGACAGTATGACCGGGTGACGGAGTGACGGTTACTGAGGTCAGCAGCAGTATGTAGTCAGGTGGCTGTCGTGTACGGTGTGGGCAGAGGCATTGTGCTTCATTCATTGGACACTTGCACATCATGGGGAAAGTTCATTCCCGTGATTTTTTATTTAGTTTTTGGTTGTTGTTTTGTTTTTGTTTTCGAATCTTGGTGTGCAAGGAATTGGTCTTCTTTTATATTTCAGAGAAAAATAATTCCTATCAGATAAGGAATTTGGTGTGTCGAAGGGGGAGGGGAGATGCATTTGATTCCTCTTCTGCTCTGTGGGCTTCAGGGTTCAGAGAACAGGAAATCAAAAAATGACTAATACATTGCTCTGAAAATTGCCAAGTGTTTCCTGGTATTTTTCTGAATAGATTACAAGTCTACTCTGATGCCAAATGCCTTAGTCTTTCTTTTAACAAATACTTTTTTGTACTTGTTGACATTACTGTATAAGATATTCAATGGTTTGAAATGTCACCAGAATCTAACACAGCTGGCAGACAAGTCTCTGGAGTTTCTTTTTTTTGTGTGTGTGTGTGTGTGTGTGCATAGTCCACTACGATAATGACATGTTTTGAAGTCCAGCTGTTCTCTTTCTTTTTGTCTGAGATTAAACGTTGAGCAGAACGATCTGGCTGTAAATGTCAATTTCATTCTTTTTGCACTCATAATGTTTTTCTTTCTCTAGCCTCATCTACTCCTCCGCCTAGCACCACCATGAAGTCAGCAAGTAAGTTTCTGCTGTCCTTCAGTTGCTATTGCCATTGCCTTTGTCATTGCTACTTGAACGCTCTGAATCATCCGTTATATTTTGTAAATAATTCAGCTTCATCATTGTTTTGTTGTTTAATTTTTTATGTTTGCGTTGAGGTTCTTTTGGTTTACGCATGGCTTTTTATGACAGAACACATGATGAGTTACAAATATTACCTTCTAGTCTGTCTGAGTTCTTAGTGAAATGATATATTGATATTATTTTTTTCTTTACTTTGCTTTGGTGAGCTTGAAATGGGAAGGCTTATTATTTGCTCTTCTTCTGAAGTGCAAAGAGAAGTTCGCTGTTTGTGTATGTATATGAAAATAAGCATATGGACACAATAATGGTCATAAAGTACAGGGAAAAAGAAGGCAGACAGACAGAAACAGCAAAGGGGAAGTAACAAAGTAAGACCTACTAGTGGCGCCCTCCAACTACCCGCTCAGAATTTTGAATGGATATGAGAATGGGATTCGCTGCTTGAGAAACACAAGGCTGTTTCGAGTTGACCTACTGTACATATGTTACCTTTTCTTGTATTGAAACCATCCAGCTTTGGCATTACAAGGTGCTGGTGTCGGAGATGTATTCCTTAAAACATTGATTTTCTTATTTTGTCTATGGTAGTAGTAATTAAGTCTGAGGAGGTTTCTGTCTGCTCTTTGAGGACTGCTATATACATCTATTTGTGACTTCGGAGATTGGATTACTGTATTGTTTATCACTTTTACAGTTCTCCTTGCTCCTTTTTTAATAAGATGTAGAGGGGGGGGGGGGGGGTT